TAACTTGTTACATTTGGAACTGTTGCATTATTTATTTGTTGAATTACTGCTAAATGTTTCTTGTACTGAACTGTAGAGCTTTATTGTACGTAGTATTAATTACGTAGTATTAAACTAGCTAGTTTTAACTTGTAACACTATAAGTAGGGGCGGAGCCACGGGGTTATGGTGGTCAGCCGACCCCGCTGAAAGTTTGAGAGTATAGAGCTCTGAAGTATTAGTTTGATATATTATGGCCCCCGTAACTCATTACAGGTAAAAAGTTATGACTTCTGAAAAATCAGAGCTATCTAAACGTAAAATCAACAAAATTTGATGTATAATTCACTCAATACTTAAGTGATACGACTCAAAAACAGAGCAAAAATAAGTTATCTTATTGCTACGAGTGCCCATTTATCTAAACTGGATATGAAATATTCAACTCGATATCGTTTAAAAACAATACACCATATCTCATTCTGTATATAGATTGAGTTTCGATCCCCTTGAGCCATTTTTCTAGCTCACCCAATGACTATAACATTGTTTGTCAGCGCTCTTTTCTTTGACAAAGTCATCATGCTCTTTAGAATTCATATTGGTCGTTGATGTATTAAACTAGCTAGTTTTAAATTGTTGACTTGTTTTCTCAAAAAAAATTGTTGACTTGTTGCATCTGGAATTATATCAAAAGTTTGAGAATTTTAGCAGTTTTCTAACCTTATGATTTGAAAAATATTGTCAAATCATTACTCTATATTTTCTTCAACTTTCATGGGTGTGGTCAAATTATAACGAGTTAATTATTCATGTAGGACTAAAAGATTCACCAAATGTTAAAATAAGAGTGATATCGTACGTAAGGTTTAGTAAGAATCATTTAAGTATATGAGTGGATCATAATAATCTTACTTTAAATAAGAAACCACATTTCATAAAAGCAGAGGGAATTCATAGAAATCCCGAACTTCATTTAGCTAAATTGGATACGATGCGGAATTTCGTATTCATTTAACAATCAATTCGTATTTAATATTTTGCATTCGTTTCATTGGATGTGTGGCAGACATGCGCATGCTGCGTTGGATGTATGAGCATACTACAAAATGACCGCGTGAGGAATGAGACAATCAGATAAAGAGTGGGTGTAGCACCTATTGAAGATAAGATGCAGGAGTCGCGCCTACGGTGATTTGGTCATGTGCATAGAAGACCGAGTGATACACCTGTCAGACGAGTTGAGATGTATGGAGAAGAGACAGGGAAGAGAGTGAGAGGAAGACCCAAACAAACGTGGGTTAGGGAAGTCAGAAAGGATATGCTTCTTCTTAGATTGGATGAGCGTATCGCTTTGGAGAGAGCAAAATGAAGGGCATGTATTCGTGTGGAGGAGTGATCTTGTATCATCTTTCCCCCCCTGTTTTTACTTATACTTTTATCCTTATACATAAATATTACGTTATCCTTTTTATTTATCTTCTCATCCACTTTAGAAACTACATAAATTTATTTATAGGGACCATTATTGGCGGAAGGTCCCTAAAGTTGGGATTATTCTGAAATAATCGATAGTTGGGATTATTATGAGCGGACCGCTAATAATTGGGATTATTACTATCAATTTTTCCTTTTATCTTTTATATGTATATTCATCTCTTTTACATTATCTTTTTTTATACTACGTAATAACTTATCTTTTTTATCTTTATTTTCTTTCTTTTCCTTTTGGTGATATCATGTATCGATTAATGTTAGCCGACCCCAATATCGTTTGGGACTAAGGCTTGGATGTTGTTGTATCTGAATTTATTTGAATATTATCCGTATATTCAAATTGAAAAGGAGTTAAATGTGAAATTTATGAAATTAATTAAAATTATAATGTATATTTTTTTCCTTTTGACCCACTTTCATAGTACACATTTCCCACTAAAAAGTATGGAACACTTCTTCTTAATTGACATCAATATATATATATATATATATATATATATATATATATATATATATATATATATATATATATATATATATATATATATATATATGTGAGAAAAGGGGGCAAATAAGGCCACATACTGACAAAAAAAGGTAAAATAAGACCATATTTTAGAGACTCTGTCCGGCCATCACCATTTGGGGTGGTTCCCGGTGGAATTTTTTGATGATTTTTTTTAGCATCTTATTCAGTAAGTCTAGTTTATGCATACCAAATTTCAGCTAAAAATTCAATCGGGGACACATTGAAATGAATTCTCTAAGATAATTGCGCAGTTTAAAGCGCAGTTATTTCAAGAATTCATTTGAATGCCTTTCCGATTGAATTTTTAGCTGAAATTTTGTATGAGTAAACTAGACTTAATGAATAAGATGATCAAAAAATTTTATCAAAACATTCCACCGGGAACCACCACAATTGACGAAGGCCGGACAGAACCTCATAAATAAGGTCTTATTTAACCTTTTTTGGTTAGTTACTAGGGATAATTACTAGGTTAAGATTAGCCACCTTGAAATATTTGACTGGGCTAAATCATTCGAAATATAACATGGGCAAAAGATCTACAAGTTTGAGTTCATTAATATTATGTTGTTTGTGTATATTATAATTATTTATGAGGTTGTGTGTGTATATATATTCCTATATGATTTGAATGCATTCGAATCAAATCAAATATAATACTATTTGTATTCATATTCTTATTCTATTGATTCGAACCTAAATTATCAATCAAATCTCAACTATAGGGCGGGGTTTACAATTGTAGAGGGCGGGGTTCGAGGTGGTCTCAAGAAATTAACTAGTTTTATCAAGAAATTAACTATTTTTACAATTGTAGAGGGCGGGGTTCGAGGTGACATCTACCCTCAAGAAAAATTCTAGTGTACATTTTTATTCTATTAAGAATATTTAGGAACCCATTAAAAATTTCTAAAGAAAAAGAACTTCCTAGTCGTCTAGGGTTTTGATCCTCTCCGACGTAAATCGTTGGCTTGATTCTTCTATTCGTTATCCCTATACGAATTGATCGTGATCCCTGCTATTCGATTTGGATTATGGCTAATGCAATAGATGAACTATACGCTCGCCTATCTATCGAAGATGAGGACGTGGAAGGTGTTGATATCGATGAGGCTTTAACAGATGACGTTCCAGGGGCGAATAAGTTTTGCATGGTGGGACGACTGTTTACGGACAGGACCATCAAATTCACGTTCTTCCGAGACACCATGGCAGATGTGTGGCGTCCAAGGAAAGGAGTCTACATCCGCGAAATCGATCGAAGAACGAAGGTATATCTTCCAATTCTATGACGAGTCCGACTTTGAACGTGTATTGGTTGATGGCCCTTGGTGCTATGAAAACTCTTTGTTGATATTACACAAATTGGAACCAAACGAAAACCCTAAAAGGGTCTCGCTGGATCGTGTCCAATTCTGGGTTAGAGTGTATAATCTTCCGCCTAATCTGTATACGGAGAAAATTTGTCAAATTGTTGGCGATCAGATTGGGTCATATGTATTGGCTGATGCAAAAAACTTTGAACGAGGGTGGAAGGAGTATCTTCGTATCAAGGTCTCCCTCGACGTTAATGTGCACCTTAAAAGAAAAGTGATGCTCAAGCGTGGGGGGGAGCCAATTCGAGCGGATGTTAAATATGAACGTTTGCCACACTTGTGCTACATTTGTGGTTTAATGAGCCATGGTGATCGCATGTGTGTATGGCGTTTTGATTTTGAGAAAAGCGGAAGAGAGAAACCTTTCGGTGCATGGCTGCGGGCGACATCCAACCGGGGTTCCACGAGCAAGGGAAGCAAATGGTTGGTGAATGGAGAAGGCAAATTTATTCATGGAGAGCCATCCTCGACTAGCAGCAGGGCAGTGGTATTATACCAGGAAGATCCAGAAGTGGAGATTTCAACCCAGACAGAAGGTTACATGGCGGCAAAAAAGAGAAAGGCAGCGGGAGAAATGTTAGGCGGGAATCTCTTGGAGGGGCAGGATATGGATATATCTTTTTCAAAAAACGAGTTAGCGGCGGGTTCTGGTTCCCAGGCCCGCCGGGAGCAATGAGTTGCTTAAGTTGGAACTGTCGGGGGCTTGGCAACCCAGCGACAGTTCAAGTGTTGGTGGACGTAGTCCACCAGAAGCGGCCATCAGTGGTATTTTTAATGGAAACTTTTGCTAGTACTAATAGAGTTATGGATGTGATGCGGAAGATTGGTATGGATGATTCTTATACAGTGGCGAGTGTCGGTCATAGTGGAGGGCTGGCTATGTTCTGGAGGGAAGGTATGCGGGTTCAGATAGTCGGATAATCAAAATACTATATTGACTCGCATATTAGTTTGGAGGAGGGTGCACCGACCTGGCGTTTTACGGGGTTCTATGGCAATCCAGACAGAGCAAAAAAGCGGGAGTGTTGGGACACTCTTAAATCTCTTAGCTTGGGAGCATATTCTCCATGGTTGGTAATGGGTGACTTCAATGATCTCATGTTTGCTTCCGAGAAGAGAGGCCGGATTCGTCATCCCCCATATCTGCTTAGGGGGTTTCGTGAATCTGTGTGGGCGAGTGGGTTGAGAAATTTTGATTTTAAAGGATATCAATTCACTTGGGAAAGATGGAGAGGAACTCAGAACTGGGTGAAGCAAAATCTGGATAAGATTCTGGTTTCAGAGAGCTGGTTGGATATCTTCGGCGGAGCAGAGGCTGAATCTCTCGAAGGAGCGCCCAGCGATCACATGGCCCTGTTTATTAAACTGATTCCCACTCCCACTGTTCGACGAAGGCGGAATTTCAAATTTCAAAATGTTTGGCTGAGGGAATCTGACTGTCGGGAGATTGTGGCTCGAAGTTGGGGACTAGGTCGCCACTCAGGTATCATGGGGCAAGTGACTTTGTGCGGCAAAGCCATTGCGGATTGGGGTTCCAACAAATCTGGATCGTATGGGAAGCGCATTAATTTTTGCCGCAAGAGACTTGGGCATCTACGGCAGAGATGGGATCCCTGGGGGGTGAACCAGTTTCAGAAAGTTAAACAAGAATATCTTGACCTCCTAGAAAATGAGAATATTTTTTGGAGGCGGCGAGCTAAGGAGTTTTGGCTTCAGGAGGGCGATCGTAACACTCGATACTTTCACAACTCGGTGAAAGCTAGGAGACGCAGGAATAAAATGGAGGGCTTGAGGGTGGAGGACGGCCGCTGGGAAACAGACAGAGCAGAGGTGGCAAAGCAAATTGGGGATTATTTCAACAACTTATTTACGGCAGGTAACAGCGGGGCGGATGTTGTGTACGATTGTGTGCAACGCCGTATATCTGAGTCACACAACCTGGTTCTGCTAGGCCCTGTTCGTAGTGAGGAAGTTAAAGAGGCTGCTTTTGACATGTTCCCGGATAAATCTCCTGGACTGGATGGATTCGGTCCGGGCTTCTATCAGCACTTCTGGGATGTGATCGGGCAAGACATTGTGGACTTTTGCAGGAAGAATTTTGAGTCAGGTAAACTCCCGAACCTTATTAATCATACTCATATTGTTCTCATCCCAAAGAAGGAAAAGTCGGATGCTATAACTGACTGGAGACCGATTGCTCTGTGTAATGTGAACTATAAAATATTTTCAAAACTGCTTGCCAATCGCATGAAGAGCATTCTAAACTTGTGTATTTCTGAGAAACAAAGTGCTTTTATCCCGGGTCGTTGTATTGTTGACAATATTATGCTTGCTTTTGAATCCCAACATTATCTGAAATGTAAGCAACAGGGGAAAATGGGACTGGTGGGCCTTAATCTTGACATGAGCAAGGCCTATGATCGGGTTGAATGGTCTTTTCTTGAAGGAATGTTAAGAAATCTGGGCTTTCATGAGAGATGGATAGGGTTAATTTTGGCGTGTGTAACCACTGTGTCCTACTCTATTCCGTTCGATGATGGAACGATTGAGCTTATGCCTCCGGGTAGAGGTCTCCGTCAGGGGGACCCACTATCCCCTTACCTGTTCTTGATTGTAGCCGAGGGTCTCAGTGCTATGCTCCACAGATATGAAGCTATGGGGCGATTGCATGGAGTTTCTATTGTCCGAGGCAAGGGGCTCCTATGATTTCTCATCTCTTTTTTGCAGATGATAGCTTGCTATTTTTTAGAGCATCTCATGACGAAGCTTCACTGATAAAGGAAACTTTGGCTGATTATGAAAAGGCTTCGGGGCAGGTAATTAATTTCAATAAATCTAAGGTTTTTTCAGTAGTAATGTTGATGTAAGCTATCGGGAGGGCTTGATCGAACTCTTGGGAGTCGGGGTGGCTGGGGAGGATGAGAAATATTTGGGTCTGCCAGCTCTTGTCGGGAGGAATAAGAAACATATTTTAGGGTAGCTCAGGCAAAGGGTGATAACCCGCATTAATAATTGGAATAATAAATTCCTATCTAAGGCTGGGAGAGAGGTGTTGTTAAAGGTTGTGATTCAGGCTATGCCTACCTATTCTATGAATGTCTTTCTTTTACCTGTTGACCTTTGTCGAGAAATTGAAAATATTATGAACGGTTACTGGTGGAAGAGCAAGGCAGGTAGAGGGATTCATTGGAAGAGTTGGGCCTCTCTTTGTGTTCCAAAAGCGGCGGGGGGTATGGGCTTTAAAAGGCTCCGGGATTTCAACTTAGCTATGCTTTCCAAGCAAGCTTGGAACTTTTTACTAATCCTGAGTCTTTAGTGGCCCGAGTTTTCAAAGCAAGATATTTTCCCAAAGGAGATTTTTTACAAGCTAAAAGTGGAAATAATCCGTCTTTTATTTGGTGGAGCATTTTACACACTCAGAATATTATCCGGGAAGGGTACCAATATGGAGAGTGGGTGATGGTCACTCTATTAACATTTGGGAGGATCCGTGGTTGCCAGATAAAGTAAATCCAAGGATTACTACGGAGAAGTATGAGGGCTTGGAAGAGGCCGTGGTAGCTAATTTATTTACCACTAATTAGCGGAAATGGGATGAGGATATCATCACAGATATTTTTGAGGCCAGAGATGCTGCTCTTATTCGGGGTATTCCTTTAAGCAGGAACCTGATTAAAGACTCGGTGAGCTGGAGATGGGAGGACAGTGGCATTTTCTCGGTGCGGAGTTGCTACCGTAAGCTGGTGGGAGAATTTGACGGTAAAACAGGCTTTGAATGGACTGAAACTTCCCCCTAAAATTAAGATGTTTTTCTGGCAGGTTTGCAGCGGGTGTCTTCCAGTGAGGCAAAATCTAAGATTTAGAAGGGTGGACTGCCCAGGGCAATGCGGACTGTGCAACACCGAATTGGAGTCTACAGAGCATATTTTCAGGAGTTGCACTTTTGCTCAGGACCTGTGGAAGGAACTTCGCTGGCAATGGAGCTCCGGGATTAATGCATCTTTCACGGAACAAGTTTGCTTGGAGGCCAGGCAGAGGAGACAAGAGGATTTCGAGTCGTTGATGTGGGGCTGCTGGGCGGTATGGACTGAACGAAACCTGCGTGTATGGGAGGGGAAGAGCTCCTCGCTGCAGCAGGTTGTCAGTAGGGCGAGAGCAGTGATAACAGGGTGGAAACAGGCTCAAGCATCGGTGGCTATGGGAAGAAGGGAGTAGGATGGAGCAACGAGAAGCGCAGTTTGGCGCAAGCCGGGACCTGGCGTCTGGAAATTAAATGTTGACGCGGCTACCGGGGTGGACAGCGGGGGGATTGGATGGTGCCTACGAGATGATAAAGGTGACTTTATCGCAGGCGCGACCACAAAATGGCCGGGAATTTGACACCGTTGTTGGCAGAGATGGTTGGTATACGGGAGGCTTTGAGCTGGGTGAAGGATTCTGGTTATTTGTTGGTGGCAGTGGAGTCAGATTCATTAAGGGCGGTCTCGGAAATTATGAAAGGAGCGAGCTGCTCCGCGGTGGGCCTAGTACGAGATGACATCAAAGAATTGGCGAAATCCTTTTCGTGTATTTCTTTTACTCATGTTAAGCGGTCAGCGAACAAGCCTGCTCACTTACTTGCTAGAGCGGCTCGTTCTTTACCTGATTCGCAGCAGTGGCTAAATTTTCCTCCATCGTTTATTGTATTCGCTTTAGCGAATGATTTGATTAATGCTAATTAAGTCCATTCCTTTAAAAAAAAGAATATTTAGAATTTAGACTTTTTTTTACAAACAACAAACTAAATTATCATTAATTAAATCAAAGAATAAAGCATCTATAATACACCCCGGGGTGAATCCAACCAAAATTAATTATTAGACATAGAACAAGCTACCTTAGCTAACACATGAGTTATCCTGTTCGCTGACCGTCGAACAAAAGAAAAAGAAATATTATTAATCCCCAAGCTAATTTTTCGTATGTCCTCTGCCAATAATCCTCTTGAAGACTAACTTTTTCTCGTCTGAATTTCAGAGATCTCTAGCAAAGAATCTGACTCAATCTTCACATTATCCGAATTCTTATCCTTCAACCAACTTAAAACCTCCTGAATACCTAGAAGTTCCGCCTCCAATGGAGAACAGCTTCCATCCCACCTCTACACCCCTCTCATCCCAAGATTTTAGACTATTTTAATAAGGAGCATTAGGTGTAAATTTTTTAGGCTCTGTTTGCAAATGCTTCTTGGAAGCACTTTACAACTTTTTTGTTAAAAAAAAGTCAATAGAGGTGTTTGCAAATGTTCATTTCATCTTAAATTAAAGCTATTCTAAGACAAAAGTTGAAAGCTCCCATTACATGCTTTTATCTGCGTCTAGCTTTTATTAAATTACAAATTTCATTTAAACCTAAAATGCCCCTCCCACATCCGGTCATCCCTCTGCTGCACCATTTCAGAATATGCCGCAATCATCCAGCCCTCTTTCTTTTCCAAAACCATGGCCATTTCATCAAAGTTCTTCCACATGACTTGTTTCACATAATCACATAATGATGTACGGACTGATTTGTTGATACTTTGAATATGTGTGTGTGTGGAAAGCGATCTAGCGACTGCTGAACCATGGACCGGCCACTCGGAGAATCTGCCGGCGTTGCAGACTACGTTAATACAATGGCCACTTGTTGGGTTAAGGGCCCAAGCCGAGGCCCGGCCCACTAACCTTTTCTTCATCAGACGTACGTCCAGTCAGACCACAAGGCCAGCCCGCAGGCCCATATCCCTGGGGGAGGGACGAACGTCTGGGGTCAGGAGTTCAGGCCCAGCGGCTCATCCCGACGAACGTCTATGCAGGGGCAAGGAGCAGGACCACGGGCCATCAGGGGTGACGACGAACGTCTCCTGAGCAAGCCCGTAGTCATCGGGGGAAACCCAGTCCACATGGTGAGAATCCATCAAGGCCAGGAGACGAACAGCCGGAACCTCTTGAGGGTCACTTGGAGCGATCCAGCTCGCTTCCCAGGCGGACGAACGTCCCCATTATTTAGGCGAGAAACCTAGATTCTGGCGGGAAGTGCATTTAATGCTGAAGATTTGGTGGTTGGGACACAAGCGGTCCACAGGCCTCCACGTCAGCATAGCCACCTGCCCATTGGCGGGTATAAATAGAAGCATTTATTTCATTGTAAAGGGTTGGCAACTTTCTATTCTTAGCATTCTAGCTATAACATTCTTACCGGTAGCATCTACACTATCTCGTAAGACGAACGGCCGACGTGCCTTTTTAGCAAGTAGATTGTACTTAGGGGAGTTATTACGAAGTTAATAATACCTATTTACATTGCCTGCTATTTCCTCTGTTTCCTGATCCATCTGATAGTTGTTGGGCTAGATATTCACATACTCACTCCACTCGAAATCTTTGGGCTTACGTGTTGGGTCCAAGGGTTGAAGGAATAAACCCCAACACCACTGAAAAGAGGGAGGGTAACATCGTGGAAAAGACCCAGTCGATTTTACTGTTGAGCTTCTTCCTCGTGCTTATCGATAGGGACAACTTGCAGATCAGAAACTATAAATCACTTCCCTTGCGAAGGCGAGACCAACAACGACAATGGATTGTCTTCCGATCAACAGCGAGACCGATGCCGCAAAATAACCAAGGCTCTGCCTTCCAATAGGATTCACATGGATATTTTTGTCTTTTAATAATATGTTACCTTACAAATCACTTTTTTCCCAAACATTTCAACTTTTTCCTTTTAACTAAAATCACTTCTATTCTCCACACTACATACTTTCACTCCAAAACACTTTTCCAATAATCTCTTAAAATATTCACTTTTGAAAAAACACAAGCAATTGGAAACAGAGCTTTAAACAACGCTCCTGTATTGACTACCCTTGAATACGGGTTGGGCTCATTTAGAACCAAAAAAGAAAGTGGGCTTAGAAGCAGATGAGAATACCAAATTCCTGTTTGAGCCAGCAAATTCCTGTTTCCCAAACATGACGATAGTGCTGCAAATCTAAAACCTGGTTCAGGGCTAACGGATCAAAAACCTTGCTCACCAATGGCTGCACGCTATGGATCGCTATCAAGGTCTCTTCTCTCCGCAGCCAGAACGTCTACTCTGCGGTCTTCTCCATCCATTTCCGGCCTCCGGTCACAAGCGCATCTCGGCCAGCGCATTCCATCTCGCCGCCTGCTTTCAGGCATTCTTCCCAGGTTGGCTCCTCTCCGCATTTCGTAATTTATTCTCTGCTTTACTTACTTTCAAATTTTTTTACTCAAGGTTCTTTTGTTTTTCATTATATCATAGGACTAGTGGAATACTGGGGTGTACGCAATCGCTACTTCCGCTGCACAGCGCGCTGGCGGCTACTCGATTGACTTCGCACATGGAAGTGGAGGCTCGCTCTTGCTGCGAATTGTATCACGGTACCTTTTTCTGTCGCAATTGCCCTGATCGGTAGTGTTTAGCAACTGTGAGTCCTATTTTGTACTGTAATTTATAATCTGTTGATGGTCAATTGCAATCGAAGCCTAATTCAGAACCTGTAGTTTCCGAGAGTGCCATATTTTTGGCACTACCATTTGCAGTTATTCAATTTTTAGGAGTTAAATGGTCTGCTTTTGTAAGAGCTACAAATTCCTATATTTTTAGTTTTAAATTTAGTTTTTTAAAATTTGCACTGCATTTATGAGAGTTCAAGAAATTAATTTCGTAGCATTTGAAGCTTTATTGTTTTACGGGAAGGGGAAGATTCCATTTTCCTGTATAGAGAAACAGAAAGGACTCTCATTGACATTCCAGGACGCAGCTTTGAGCTAT